TTAGATGTTATTTATCTAGTATTTTTGCGTTTGTCGGATTGCATGTGAGTGAAAATCAGGTGATCAACGATTAGCGAAGCAAGTACTGTATATCGATATATTATTTTGCTGTAAAATCCACGGTTAGTGTCATAATTCAGATTGGTTTACATATTACGTATCGTTATACATGTACATGTATAAAACAAATGACAATTATGTGATTGATTACTACATCCTAATTTGGACTTATAAAAGTGACAACGATGCCTTCCCGAGTCGACCCAGTTGATCTAAACCGTTCAAAAAATTTACCACTTTGATAAAACCAGGGTAAAATTCTCAAAAACCCGTTGATTTATTGAGTTATACACGCGCAAGTCGATATAACGGACTCTCTTTAGAAAATTTAAACCTCGACTTAACCTCAAGGCTATTAATTTAGTAATTAAAATTTTAAGAAATTGCATTAAGCATAAACACATATATCATACGTATTATTAAAAATGTTTGAAATGTATAGAAAAATAAAAGTGTCTAAAAATTGAATAAATGAAAACTTACTTTTCGCCAGGAACATCTGTACAACTGGGCTGGCTGGTGACCAGCCAGCCTAGTTGTACAGATGTTCCTGGCGAAAAGTAAAGTTTTCATTTATTTAGTTTTTGAAATCTGAATGGCTTGTGGTCTCCCCAACTTCAACAACGAATACGGGGTGAAAGGTTGCTCTTGGAATGTCCAAAGTTGTTGTGCAGTCAAATTGAGATATATGTCGCTAGGCGTAAATGCAATATCTGGTGCTCTAATTGTTCCCCCCTCAACATTGAAGTCAAATCTTCACTGTGACGAAGTGATAGCACCGTTTTGGGAGCATTCCCGTTACGAAGTTGACACCCAATTTGTAGAACAACTTCCATATCAATAGTTACTTGCGGCATGCTAGTTTCTAAAGAACTGTTTATTGATTAACTCAAACTTTTTTTTGATATTTATGTGGTTAGACATTCACGTGGTTAGATGCAGTTTTGTCACTTTACTATGTCATAATAACCAGAAGTTCTGGACTGGACCATATTGGATTTATAAACTCACTAAGCCCAGTGGTCCAGTGACGCGGTATTGGTTAGAAATTATAAAAGTTTATACCGCTACAGGTCATCCATGTAAGTAACAACCTCCGACGCAAGTGTTGAGGGCATAGAGTAGAGTGTAACGAATTTCTCATCTATCCGTCCATTTGGCATTACCATTTGCAACGTTGACTGATATGTGCTTTTTTCCCGTGTTCATTTGTATCTGCTTTCGTTCTGTAAACAACAATCCTGTCACTGCTGCTGGTTTGTACTATTCTTGTTGGTGCTCTTAAACTACTCGCTGGACACCCGTGTGTCATCGAAGAACAAGCCCTTCCATGATTCGACTATGTTCCAGGATGGATTGAAGGAAGCTCAAGATGGCGATGTCATTCACCTTCAAGAAGTTTGCCTGTTTGGTAAAGAGGAGTTTGATTCTCCATTTTTGTGCGTCGACTTTGTCGAGTGATTCATGCGGAGAAGAACGTTCGTGGCTAATGTTTCACGGGTAATTCGGGAAAGTTTGTTCAGTTGACTTGCACGAACACAACAGACTGTGATTTTGCATCACCATCGTGGAATCCTTTACTATTCTCGGATGAGCACGTGTCAGTTCTTTTCACCTGAAGAGTTTAGATTTTGCCTTGACGGACCGGATGCTTGGTACATTGTTGACGAGATGCACCTAATGGACCGCATACGTGGTAAAACAACTTTGTATGTTCTCTGTAAGGTACATTACAAACATTTTATAAAGAGATTTCTACAAGTCAACGCTACATGTCGACAACTAGGTTTTCCTCGAAGGAGGTCGAGAAACTGTATGACATGTGGGACGGCATTCTACGTTTCGTTCTAGAATCGGCACGAAACCCAGAAAAACATGTGTTAAATCTGGCGATTCACATGTACCAAACACATATTTTCAGTTACATAGGCAAGATTGATTCTCCAGAAGATAGCTTAATGCACAAACGTTCCCACAGATGAAATTGAGAAAGAATAATATGTGAAAGATGATGAAAGCAAGGATGATAGTTCAAGATTCCGCCTGCGCCATACACGATTCCATCCATGAGATTCGCTTCCGATTACGTTGCGCAGCGAATACTTCGACATTTAAAATATATTTCATGAGGATTTGTATTGTTTCCTCAGCTTAGGTGCTCTTCGCGGTCATGTATTTGAAACTATTGCGAATGGAGATACCTGTCACTGGACGATGAACAGCTCATTAAGTGCAATCTCCCACCGAATTTGGAATAAATTAGAGACTAAATTCAACGGTGTATACTAAAAATTCATAGCAGTAGAAGAGCTACGTACGTATATATAAGAACGACATGGCTTATAACATAATGTTACGTGAATCTGGTGATTTATATAAAAGGGAAAGATATTATAAACGGCAGCAAGAGTCTTAAACGATAGTTAATGTTGCTTGTGCCGATATCTACGGATATCTTATTTCACGTTGGATTTTAAGTATGTGTATGGTAAATGTTTCCTTTGTTAATTTCTAAACCGTTTTCTATTATCTATTACGCGTGTCTTTACCAATCCTAACCGTCAGTCAATTCAATAAATTATTACGAGGGAATTTTACAAGTCTCATTTTACTTAGAGAACAATTGTGAGCAACAATTCTGTCTTTATTGAGGCCCATAGACCTTTCTTATATTACTTTTCTGACTACGATCAAATACAATTCAGAAAGAACATAGGACATTAAAAGCATTGTTTAAGAGAGAATGTAAGATATAATTAAGAATTTTGTTTAAGAGAGAGATCGTGACAATTAAAAAGAAATGCAAGACAAATTAAAGGTAATGTTTAAGAGAGAACGTGACATAAATAAAAAGAAAATATAAGATGAAATGTTTAAGAGAGAGGATCATGAGAGAAATCGTGTTAAAAAGAAAGAATATCGATATGTGATATAAATAAGAGTGTTGTTTGAGAGAACAGAACATTTAATTGTACCTATAATGTGGCCCAAACCGATCCTACCAAAATTAAGAGGATCGTCGAAATAGTGTTTTATACATGTACATACGTATCGGTATATACAGTGACTCACTAAAGAAACGGAACGCGGAAAAAAAAATGGCGAGATTCGAATATCTCGCCATTGAAGAAT